AGTTGGTAACACAAGTTATCATGGCTAACCTTATGTTCGGTTTATTTTCCATATAAAAAGATGTAGTTGGTAACACAAGTTATCATGGCTAACCTTATGTTCGGTTTATTTTCCATATAAAAAGATGTAGTTGGTAACACAAGTTATCATGGCTAAACTAATGGTCGGTTTATTTTCTATATACAAATATGTTTCTGGTAACACAAGTTATCATGGCTAACCTTATGGTCGGTTTATTTTCCATATAAAAAGATGTATTTGGTAACACAAGTTATCATGGCTAAACTAATGGTCGGTTTATTTTCTATATACAAATATGTTTCTGGTAACACAAGTTATCATGGCTAAACTAATGGTCCGTTTATTTTCCATATAAAAAGATGTAATTGGTAACACAAGTTATTATGGCTAACCTTATGTTCGGTTTATTTTCCATATAGAAATACGTTTCTGGTAACACAAGTTATCATGGCTAAACTAATGGTCCGTTGTTTTATTTTCTATATACAAATATGTTTCTGGTAACACAAGTTATCATGGCTAACCTTATGTTCGGTTTATTTTCCATATAAAAGGATGTAGTTGGTAACACAAGTTATCAGACCTAAACTCATGGTCGATTGTTTTATTTTCTGTATAAAAAGATGTTTTACAGAACTGAATTGCAGTTTACAAAAATATTTTTTTTTAATTCACCACACATAGAATATTGATTTTCTTCTGATATTCTAACAATAAGGAAAATAATTTTGTACAGGATAAGAAAGACTTATCAATATCTACCAATTTGTTTTAATTGGAACAAATGCAGTAAACCCCTTATACTGTTTATATGCTTGTGAATTATTGCAAAAATGATTAAACTGAGTTCTAAAGTCACTGCCTAAAACTAAATCAATCTCTTGGTACCAAATATGTTTCAAAGTTCATTTAAATAAAATATAGCAAAAAACAAAGAAATATTATCTGTCACACACATATACAAACTGATATTTAAAATACTTTGCAACAAAACCAATCATCATAATCTCCAAACGTACGTTTAAACTAAGTGAAAATCAGACGTACTCTGCTCTCTGAAACGTTTAAAGTCGGTAGCAATCAGATACACTCTGCTCCGAAACGTTTAAACTAAGTGAAAATCAGACGTACTCTGCTCTCTGAAACGTTTAAAGTCGGTAGCAATCAGATACACTCTGCTCCGAAACGTTTAAACTAAGGTAAAATATGATGTACTCTCTTTTCTAAAAGGATTAAGTTAAATGTAACCCCGATACACACTGCTTCGAAACGATTAAATTATGCAAAAATAAGATGTACCCTCTTCTGAGAATAGATTAAGTTAAATGTAAATCCGATACACTCTGCTCCAAAAGGATTAAACTAAGCAAAAATAAGATGCACTCTCTTCTCCGAAAGTTAAATGTAAATCCGATGCACTGTCGATGTATACCACAAACACCGAGTCCTGATAACAAACAAAGTAAATCCAAGATGATGTGGTTCAAGATTAATAGAAAATAATTAATAAAAACTAAAATTTAGCTTTTACTCTTGGATGAGGTCTTATAATGGAAGTAAAAAAAAAAAAAAAACATGAAGAAACCTATAATGTCCTGGAGCTGTTTCATCCAGTATACAGGGTATCTCAAAAGTCTGTTCTAATAACAGACATGTACTTTATTATCTATGGTGCTATCTATTTAGATCAAAATTTGGCTCGCTTCATCCTCACGTTCCCTGTTCTAATAACAGACAAGTACTTTATTATCTATGGTGCTATCTATTTAGATCAAAGTTTGGCTCGCTTCATCCTCATGTTCCCTGTTCTAATAACAGACATGTACTTTATTATCTATGGTGCTGTCTATTTAGATCAAAGTTTGGCTCGCTTCATCCTCACGTTCCCTGTTCTAATAACAGACAAGTACTTTATTATCTATGGTGCTATCTATTTAAATCAAAGTTTGGTTAGCTTCATCCTCAAGGTAACCATTTACTAATAATATACGTCAACATTCAGCACTTTAAAAAAGAAAAACACTTCACCCTCATACACTAGGACCATAAACAAGGTGTAAAAGTCAATAAACTTAGGAATGAAAGAGGAAAAATTCATACAAGAACAGGAAAAAAATATCATAATCTTACAAAAGCAATAAAATTGTTGAAATGCCGAATAAGCTGTAATACGAAATTTTTCAACTTATAAACGTTTATAAAACTGGATAAATGCGAAGTTCCTGTTTCAGACGTTTGATGGACCACAATATTCCTATGTTCCACACGATGACACTACTGTTTCATTCCCTTGGAGAAGCCTTTGAAGAGTTCCAGCGGTATGGGGAACACAATAGTGGAGTTCTTTTCGGCAGCTATGGAGTTCAGAGTCTGGAGATAACGAAGCTGAAGAGCAGCTGGCGAATCGGCAATCACTTCGGAAGCTTCCCGTAAAGCTCTCGATGCTTTCTGTTCTCCCTCGGCGGCAATCAACTAGAAATATTAAATGTTCAGCTTCAGCCACTAATCGGTTAATCTTATAGCAATATATATATACACCTGGAAAAAAGTTAAGCACCCCCGTGTTTTTTTCAAGTGATTCAGATTCGACGTTCTTGTGACTGATTATAAATTACCATTCAATCTAAACGTGTTTATCAAATGAAATTATGCATTATTGGGCACAAG